CTTGCACTGCTCACCCAAAAAAAGCAAACCAGAGTTGTACTCTGAAGAGCAGGGGGAAGGACTGGCTTGGTTTGGCAAGGACTAAAGCACGGACCAAAGGGAGGCCCTTTCCTACCAGATTTAGAGGTGATCCAAGGAGAAGAGCTCAAGAATTGACAACTTCAGTGAGAGAAGAGCCAGTTCCTCTGACTCACAGTGGAAAACATTACTATTTTTTTWAAAAAGAAGACCCACTAGAGACAACGTACAAGTTTTGTCCGTGCCACCTGCAGATGGCTGATCTTCCTTCCGCACATCTTCATGCAGTCCCATGTCCCACAGCTCTATCATTCAGGTCACAACTTAGGTGAGGGGTGAGTCATAGCAAATACAGAGGTAGAAATTGGACCTTCCCATCTGACAGCAGTTAAGAAGTAATATATTCTTTAATATTTTAGGGGCATAATGCTTTAAGCTGCTAGCCAGCAAGTCTATGAGAGGAAAACCATCAGAGCTGCAAGGTAAACCAGCCTACCAGCATCTYGCAGAGGACACCTCCATTCCTGGTGTCCCGACTTGCTTGAGCAGAGGATGCTCCAAGGGCTGGCGCCAACATCCCCTCAGTGTGGCCACCAGCTCAGCTTTCATCTACACCCGTCTGGGATGAAATTTTGTGCTTTGTGCCTACACCTTTACTAGGARAGGGTAGGGATGCAATTTTAAACATCTCGAGCTCTGATGGAGGACCCAAAGCGCCAAGTCTGTTTGAGCATCTTCGGTCCCCAGACCAAGGAGGCAGCAGCCAAAGCCAACACAGGGACTTGCTGCAAAGTATTGATTTTTGGTGGTGGTGATCCCTCCAGACCCTCAAGAAATAATAAACCACTCAAAGTGAAGTCTGAGAAAAAGCAACCGGTCTACAGGCCCTAAGGGTTTCTTAGTTTCATTTCCACTGCAAATAAACCTCAGGCAGCAAGAATGCCTACATATAAATACCAGTTGTCCCTAGAAATAATTCATAGTATAGAATTCTGCAGTCAAGAAATGACAGACGGAAATAAATGTTTTTATTTCTCTTCAAAACTGACCATTGGTCAATAAAAAACCCTCTTTTTTTTTGCCTAAAACCAACTTTCCTTCCTCTGAACACTTAAAAAATGGGAACTTTAAGGAAAAATACATTTGACAAGTCTTGTGGGTGATGCAAAAAATTGCAGGATGGTAAAATCCTGCAAATTTATTATATCAACCAGATTTTAAATATTGCTGCAAAGAAAAGGGCTCATAGCAAAATGAAAAAGTGAAATCAGTGCTTATTTAACAGAAAGACAAATAGCTGAGTGGGAGTTTCAAGCTTCATGTTTTTACACGGTGGCAGGCTGTCCCTGCTGGATTTTGTTCAGGATTCTTAAAAATGATCTGCAAGATCAAACTGATGATTGATTTATTTTTACTGTAATAGTGGAGGATATGGGTTTCCATTAGGCATCAAAAGATAATGTCCTAACTATAAATACTTGTGCTAAGCAACTACTGAAATTATCATCTTCCTTCTAGACATAGGGCAATGGAAAGAAATACCAGCTGGTCCAAATTACCAGGTCAATAAGAACCTGGAGGTAAAAAATTAGTAGTGCTTGTTTACTGTTAACATAAGTGACTAAGTGGGACTTCMCTTTGTGCCACCCAGTGAAACTGGAGCAGGGTGAATTAAGAGAGTCTTCAATGGGACAGTGACAGCYTTGAAGGTTCATCTGACAGCACAGGGATCTATACTTACTGAGCACTAAGGAGGTATTTGGGAAGGACAACTAACCCCTGGGGTGGTAGTTATTGGAGAAATCCAGCATTAACATCACAAAGAGCAACAACAGGACAGTTCCTCCACAGGGATGTCTSTGCGGGACCACAGTGGTTCTCCTGGTGGCTGCTTGCTCAAGTCACCAGGAGCATTAGGTTGGCAGCTCCTGCCACTTTTCCACTTCAGCACCACTGATGGCATGAAACACAGTTAGGTCTTTTATTAAAAAAAAAAAAAAAATTAAAATATATGTCAAAATCACTAACCTCCAGGAAAGATCTGGCTATAGTTTGGTCTTCCACCTCACTCCCATATTTGCTTTCTRGATGTATTCCTCATTCAGGCTTCCTAAAGAGCATGCCAAAACCAGACAGCTATGAACCTCGGTTGCAAACTAGAGTCTCATTTGCTCTCTAAAATCTGCATCTCGTTCCTGCATCTCACTTTTCTCATTAGCCAGGGCTTTGCATATCCATTACCCCTCACTCCACAACTGCCACGTAAGCCAAGTGCAGCAGCAGACACATCGGGGCCTGCGGAGCCCGTGTCGGAGGCACGAGCAGGGAGACSGAGGCCGCAGCCCCTGCCTGAGCATCCCCTCCGGCCCCCCTGCTGGAGCACGGGAAGCCATGGAGCATGGGAAGCCATGGAGCACAGGAAGCTACGGCCAGCAGGGAACATCAGCGAGGGCAGCCGGGCACAAATGGCTCTTGGGGCACAAACACCGCTCCTGGCAGGCACCGGGAGAACCCTCGTGCTGCAAAACGTAGGTTTCTGCAAGAAACGGTCTCTGTGCCACAAATTCCGTAGTCTGGGGATCCGAGAGAAGCATTCATTGCCCACAGGTTTCGCTTTCCGACTTGTGCGCAAAGCAACAGCCAACTTTAGGGCAGGAGGAGCAAGTGTTTATTTATTTTGTAGGAGGATACTCGCTGCCAACTGAAAAGAAGCGTTCCCAGCGATGCAGCTGTTCCAGGATTGTGCAAAGTCGTACTGACAGATCAGTATCACATGAGGATCTAATAATCAACTAATGAACTTTAATTTTTGAAGCGTCCCCCCCACCCATTTCCCTGCTTCCACAATTTCAAGAACACACKGATGTGTGCTGCCAGATAAGCACGTAAGATAAGATTTAAGTATGCCCTCTGACAAACTTTAATCAAAAACAGAAAAATGCTGACTTACCAGACTATATTAAAAACCTCATGACACATATTTACTTTAACAACTTCTTTTTCTTTTCTGAAACAAATAGCGAAGTGCCACCAAAACGAATGGAATGCCTGCACCCTTGAGTCAGTAGGGATCCCCGCAGTGAGATGAACCCGTACACACCCGTATTTCGCAGTATTGCATCAAGAGATACGTTGGAGGAAAGGACGTGGTTGCTGGTGGGTCTCCCGTGGCAGAAGCACCCACCTGTGGAGGGCTCCTGTGGAGGGCTCCGCAGGCCCCGATGTGTCTGCTGCTGCACTTCACTTCCGTGGCAGTTGGGGAGTGAGGGGTAACGGATATGCAAAGCCCTGGCTAATGRAAAAAAAAGAGATGCAGGAACGGGATAGATGTAGATTTTAGAGAGCAAATGAGACTCCTAGTTTGCAACCGAGGTTCGTAGCAATGTGTTTTTGGCATGCTCTTTAGGAAGCCCGAATGAGCAATACATCCAGAAAGCAAATATGGGAGTGAGGTGGAAGACCAAACTATAGCCAGGTCTTTTCTGGAGGTTAGTGATTTTGACATATATTTTAAAGGGTGCAGGAGCTCCGTTGTGGGCACGTTTGGAAAAGCTCCCCGCGGGGCAGCGAGAGCTGCTCCTGGCAGGGCTCGGCCAAGTGCCCGCGTGGGGTCCCGCACCACTCACCGCCCGGGACCGAGGGCGATGGGGTGACATGCGTCCCRAGGGGCGCACGAGGGTCCTGCTTGCCGGAGAGGAGGACATTGGTTTGAAACATGGGGAAACTGCCTTGACTRGAGAACAAACAGGCTGACTAGCACTCACCGAGGCAAGGTGCTGCGAGCTGGAGCTGCCCGTGCCTTCCTGACGAAGCAGCGAGGCAGCTACGAGCACTTACGTTCGTCCGTGCAGGCATCGCTTTCCTCGCTGGCTTCCCTGGGCTGAACCGGCTCCATTTTTAAGTTTGACCAACAGCCTCTCTCTGCAGCGCTGGGGCAGAGCTCAGAAGAGCAGCGGTGCAGGAAAASCAGCGACACAGGGTGCACCGTGCACCCATCGGATCAGCCCACGAGCCCGCATGGAGCACCTGGTCCTCGCAGCACCCCCGGCCCTCGCCGCTCCGCGGGGCCTCTCCCCTTGGCCGAAACCAGAGCCGCCGTACTTTAAACAGAGTTTATTGTATTTAATACATTATAAAATTTGAAAAAACTGTAGGAAAGCAGCAGATTCAAACCAGAGCATCTCTACCAAATATTAATTATTCTGGCCCCCTTTTGGAGAGAAAGAAAAAAAAAAAAAAAAAAGGAACACAAAACGAAAAATAAACACCAACAACAAAAAAGTCGTTCAAAAGAAAAGTTAACCTTTCACATCTGTGAGGGCAGACAAAAAGTGTGCGACTTCTGTACAAACTACATTTAAAATTTCAGTCGACTAGCTTTCCAGTGCGAGGGAGGGTCGTCTCCTGAACGCCTGCCCATCCACCTCTAAAAAAGACAGACAAAAACCTCCGTACGCAAATCAAGTTGAATCAAGGTGTACACGCTGAGAAGTGGATGGCTGTTTGGCAATGGAAAATGTGTCGGAGTAGTTCATGGATCCCCCAATGGTAATGGCTTGTATACCGTTAAGTGGGCCTGGGAAAGGCCTAGGACACTTAATGGCCACCACAGCACCAACCTCATCTACCACTTTTTTGGTTGCATTTCCTACCTTTTCACATACATACATATATATATGTAAATACATATATTACATACATATGTAATGTATACATATGTAAATACATATATACACACATATATATATGTGCTTGTGTGTGTTTTCTTATACACCTTGAGGTTATTATTACTACAACTATTCCAAATGTTCCCATATGAATTCAGGTGTGGTCTCTATATTTGATATAAATGTGTCTTTTATTCAATTTTAGCTTCCAGGACTTGTTTGGAGTCCAAACTGCACATGAAACGTCCCCGTTTTTTTTTCTTTTTTTTTTTTTTTCCTCTTTCTTTCCTTTTTTGATTTTTTTGATTTTTTTTCTTTTTTTTTTTTTTTTGCATAAAGAAACATGTCCATTTTAGTCCAGAGGCTCTTGCTTTATTCGAATGACGGAGGGTGCACGAGATGTCCTTCTGAGTTCTCGCCTCAGCACGTATTCACTGAACTGGGAAGAGTCCACCCCACCTCCGCAGGAGCCCACGATCTCGAACCCTCTTTGCTGTAACCTCTCTAGGACCTGCAGAGAGAGCAAACAAACACCTGGGCATAAGCAAACAAACAGACTATTTGCTGTCCAAGGACGATGGGCGCCGGTTGCAAATGGATCCAGGTAGGAAACAGAAGCTGTTACAGAGGAACAACACAGGAATAACCTCTGCTGGAGGGTCTCTACTGAGTCCCTAAGCTTCATCTGGCTAGATTAATTTCTGCTGACTTTGGCGACTCAGCAGCAAGAAGAAAAATGGAGAGAAAAACATGGTTAGAGCTGTTAACAAATATATTTTGGTTGACAGAAAAATACTATATGTTAAAAAAATAGTGCATTCTCTGCTTCACATTTACGATGCAAAACAGCAAGTAAAGGATTCCACAGCAGACGAAGGAGAAGGCTGAACAAACGTCTAACACTGCACACTGATATACACAGATACCGCAATCACAATTTAAGAAAAGCTACCACTGTGTTTTCCAGAGGCTTAAAAACTGACAACGATTGCGAAAATCTGTGGTTATACTGCTGTGGTAAACATAGGACTTTTTAACTTTAATTATAGGTCATAAAAATCGTGCCTACACAACCTCTTTCCTCCCTTTTACACCATGAGTGCAGTTACGGTGGAGGATACACTGGCACAGGACGGCGGGGGGGAGAGAAAAAAAGATAAAAAAAAGAAATTCAAGGGAATTCAAAACCCTCTGTGGGCTTTGCTGATAGTCCTATAACAAGATGGGAAGGGCTTATGAAAGAGCAAGAGGGCACACACGTTGAAGAAGCAGACACAGGTCCTAGCACCCTAACATTATCATCAACGTGAGGCTGCTAAGAGCATGCAAATGCCAGATTTCCTTCCATACCACCTTTTTTTTTAATGATACTTGCTCATGCTCTTTCAGCATCACTCCAGGGCTCACTTGTTCTTTCCTGCGTTTGTACTCGCTGGTACTTCCACCTTTGCATGTCCACCTCTTCTGCTTTCTGGGCTTCCCTCTGCTCACCTGCCAAGGAGGCTCCCACAGGCTGTCCCCAGGGTCCCCTCCCCCTGCCACAGGATGCAGATCCTCACAGATCCCCCCCAAAAATGGGATCCCTGCGTGACTGGATTTCCCTGCGATCGCACTGGGAATGGGCTCGTCCATGGGATTCCTCTCTGCCTCAAGCAGCTTTCACTGCTCTCTCTTCACATGCAAGAAAGCAGAGGGAATACTGATTTTTTCCTATTTTACCATGGAGCAAATTGGCTCTCAGCATATGTAGGACAGCAGGAAAATGGGTGGCAGAAAACTGGGGAGCATCGGGATGGGGGGAGAAGCRAGCTGTGCTCAGAAATGTGCCTAAAGCTACAGGACTTGCCACTTTTTTACACGCACTGCTCCAGGTCAGCAAACGCCTCTCAAATACCTGAGCACAGCAGACACATCTTGGAGATTTGTCAGAGGAAATGGGAAAAGAGACTAGAAATTCATGAAAAAGGGAAACATTAGAATTTCAGTGCAGTTTCTATTTATCCCCATCTTTGGCTCTTGATMTTATAAGGCCAAATTCCCCAAATATGTCTTAATGCAAGCTGAGCAAATCAGCAGGAGAAATTAGGTTGAGAGAGAAAAGGTGATGGTAGCACCTAGTCAGGAACCAAGCTCAGCCCTGGGAAAACTCTTTGGCCTCCACATCACTCTCCAGGTCTACCAACAGTGCCTGCCTGTCCCACCTCACACTGTTTTTAGGACTGTCCCCAAATAGTGCAGGATGCATCAACAGCAACCTAGGTACCACGGGACCATCCTCCCTCCTGCAACCTACGCATGTTTTGCCACTCTGACTTCTCACATGAGTATACAAATACGCTTGGCAAGCCTTGTGTGTTTAAGCAACAGAGTAAATAAAAACTGCTTTGACAACTATCATAAGCTCTGTGGACAAGTAACCCGTGCTGTAGTCATCTCCCTTTTCAGTTGTTGTCCTCAGTGTTGAAGGAATGTTGAAACTTCTATCAGCCACCATGACAAAAACTGTTGATGATAGAAAGGGCTTAAACAAATAAACAAAAAGGGCTCCACCAAGACACCAGAGTTCCAGGTGTTCCCTTTTCCTGCAGATACTGGCTCTTACTTCAGGAGGAAGAGGAGGAGACAATCTCTTGTGTTTCCTGTGTGGAAGGGATGCCCTCCTTCCAGCAGCCAGTGTCTGGACGTGGCCATCTTTTACTTACTCATCCTCTCCTCCCTTTTCCCTCACTTCTCACTTAATACCCTGAACGAGAGACCTGGTCTTCAGCTTTCGGTTCCTTTGCACTTCCTGTCTCGTTTCAGAGCCCCTATGGATTCTAATAAATTACAGCAATTCCACTGCCTTTCTCAGCACGTGGAAACAGTTTCTTTCGCATTTGAAAGGACAGAGCCCTCATCCCCACAAAAGGATACGACAGAGGATATCGCCCCCCAAGAGGATCCATAGCTCTGCCAGGATGTGACATGCTCCCTCCTTGGCCTGCAATGTCCCTATGTCTTGCTGCCAGTCCAGAAAATGATTAACAACAAGCAGGGCCAAGGATGKGAAGCAGGCTTGAATGGGCATCTTATATTTGCACATCAAAAAGTGTTTCCTCAAGTACAAAACATCTTTATATTCAGGTAAATGTGTACCTGAATGTGTACTTCCTAAAGCAGGTTTTTAATGCTGCTGTAGTTTGTTTTGCACAGAGATTTGGTCATGAAATGGGCAAATTAAGTTGTCAAAGTGATTCTGAACAAGAGTCTTCCGTGACATTACAACCCTCACCAGACCCCACTGGCGGGAAAGGGGGATCGATTCGCTGGCTCCCCGCCAGGCCTGCGCTTGTGCCTTCCTACCTGAACTGAGTTGAGGTGACAGTATCCGTTCAGCGGAAACCGGATGACGTGCGTCGAGTCGTGATTCCAGCCAGCATTGACCGAGTTGCACATCACGTCACCRATTTCGGGAAACACTTCTTCTATCAACGACTTATCGCCGCTCAGCGTAATCCGCTCTCCAAGGTCCGGGGCGACTCGCACCACCAAGCACTCACAGGACCTTGAGAAGCGGCCAGTCTCCCGGTCCTGTTTCCACCTTTCCATTTCTCCCARCATGGGCTGAAGCTGAAAATACTTCGCTTCTTCATATAACAAACTGTAGTCCTGAAAGACATATTCGTTACTGTGCACAATTGAGAAAGAAGCATTGCTAAGGCACCRCGTAATACACGTAATTTATTAATTCAGGCTAACAATTTTCTAGTCCTGGAACTCTTCAGACATGCTTCACAAGTGTAGGAAAGTGTAATAAAATAACAGCACAAGCCCAAAAAACCCCAACCATCAGCCCCTTGAAACAGACTGAGAACGGCAGCTTTTGTGAGGGGAGGGAGCGAGTTATCCTCACCAAACTCCCCTCATATTAGGAACTAATCCAGGCTGCAACATGCCACCCTTTCCCAAATCTTTATCCCCCACAATGATGTCATAAAATAATGACCTCATTGAACAGATGGAACAGAACTGAATCAGGATTCAGCGAATCCATCACCGGGATCCATCGCGTCTTGCAGCGAGGCTGGCAGGCACAGGAACAGGTATGAGCATGTAAATGAGGGAGCCTGCGATGGTTCCGAGTGTGAAATGATCCCGACATTTGCATAATGAATTGCACATATTACTGCATTCTAAAAATTAAGTATTTTTTAATACCTCCCCGTTTTGCCCACAGCATTGTTTACTACATTGCCTCGAACACCACAGCAGAGAGACAATGCATTTTTAAGCATAGCCAGCATAGAGGTAATTTAGAATTGATGATCTAAAGTTTGTCTATGGCAATATTTTATATTGAAAAAACCTCTTTTTCTTCTGGTTTTAAGAGCGTAAAACCATTTGGAAAATATTTATACAGAGAAAAACAATCCATCAGAACTAGGGAAGACAGAGAAAAAGAATGACAGCAAGGAAACGGCGGTAACAAGTCAACATAGCACTGAATTTGAGCTGCAGAGAGAACACTTTATGAGCACAGGATATGAATTATGTTCACAATATTGCTTTCATTTAATGCCTAACCTAAAAAAGAAAGTCATCTAATATCTATATTTCTAAGAAAGAAGGATCACTGTTCATTTGAAACACTGATATTCTGGGCAACTTAAGGCATAACTGGAAGGGGCCCCTTTGAACATCATGCTGGTTGGGAGAACTCGCCAGCAGTTACAATTTTAATTTCAGCGCTGCTACAGTGTATTTACGTGTTTAAAAGGCTCTGCATATATGATTTGCTAATCCTATATGGAAGCTGCTTTTACCCTTTTCTCTATTTCCGATTACCTTTAGGACAAGTGCTGAGAGCAGCACAAACCCATTCTGAGGCTTCAAAAGCAGGATGTGATGCTTATCAGTATCAGTTTCTAGACTCCCACGTTATTTAGGTAGGTCTAACCTTGTCACGCGCGGCAGGGACAAGTGCCGCCTGCCGCAGACGATTCAAGGATTGCTGCAATACAGCTCCTAAACGGAGCACACGACACCTATTACACCCCAAACACCTGAAAAACCCATCTCTGAAACCCCCCAGAGCCCGCATGGGGAATTATCCCAAATGGAGCCTGTCAGTACAAGGGAAAGAAAAGCAGGCTCCTCTATGAAGTCTAAGGAATAGGCGTGTAGATATTCATCCCCGACTCCTCTTCCAAAATTAAACTTCCAGTACATATTCCAGAGCTGAGCAGTAAAAAATAATCTATGACCCAATGTCCAAATACTGCCATGTGAGCAGTTTATTTTGCAGGTACCATGGTTCCCCCCCATCACTCTATTTTGACGTGGGACCAGAAGTTGGAGCTGCTGCAGTCACAGGGGAACCTCAAAGACGGAGGGGAGAACCGCTAACCTCAAGACTGATGAAGGGTCAGTTAAAAACTGCAGCATCCTTTCTATCATCCACCAGCATCCTATGATACTGTGCTTCCCCAGGTCRAACATGGCTGGGCTGCTCGATTACACTATCGCCAGGAGAGGCAGATTTAGTGCTGATGTCAAGGCTAATGGATACCCCTTCAGCCCCACCACAGTGACTCTGCCAAGCACCTGAACCCGACTACCCTATTCTAGAAGTCCCTCCTGCCTGCCACTACTTTGATCAGGCCGTCAAATTCTTTCAAGGTAAACGCAAAACACTCAAGGCCCTTGAAATCTCACCTTGAAATCATCAGGAATGAGGAGTTTCGATGTTCTTAAAAAATTCAAGATATATCTGAACATTTGCCCATCTCTGTCGATGAAGTAATGCTGCTTGAGACTGTCCAGGACGATGGGCTCTGTGCCATCAAAGAGCCTTCCGATCCTGCAAAGGAAGAGAAACAAAGGGCAACGTCAAGGCCAGATCARGCCGTGCTCAGCAGCGCCCTGCGCCCTCGCTGCGACCGAGCAGGAGCCTCATGCTGCAAAACCTCCATGTTTAGCAAGAGCCACCTATGCCAAGTGCTTGGGCATGCACAGGTTGTAACACGGGGCACTGATCCCAAAGGGAAAAAAAGTAAGTCTGTGGCAGGAATCAATTAGCAAGCTCTAAAGAGAGGAAAAATATTTGCACTTTATTATAGAGACCACCCATCAACCCCCAGAACCCTGCTGTCACGCAGCACCTTCATCTGCCAAAAATTTCTGCAGTAGCAAGTGTTGATAGATAAACACAAGTTTTCTCCAATTGTTTCTCACAAAACCCGACTTAATAACTAGAGCAGTAGGAAGAGCTGGAAATCCTGAACCAAATCCCTGACAAAGCACATGAGAAGTACGTTGCTTTTCCTTTTTTTTCCCCYTTTTTTTTTTTTGTGCTGAGGTGTTTGCAAAACACTCCTGAGTCACGAGATATTTCCCAACGAAATCACCCAGAGCGATCAGTATGTTTGATTTTGTGCGTGCCTGTGTTTATATGCCCATATGTGCATGTGGAAGCACTTCCTGATTCTTCCCAACGCCCTGCCTCCAAGAAACTGTAAACAAAACTGTCTCAGAAGCAGCTCACGCTTGAGACTGCACATGGGCAATTTGCATGAAATATTACCGACACTTTTGGACATGATTCTCGAGCCTTGTCACAACCTGCTACATCCCGCCGTATTTTGCAGATTCGGTGGCTTCGTTCTTTTAATGGAAACGGTCGCTCGGATGCGGCCTCCGTGCCAATCTAACCGGCCTCGTCTCAGAGGCTGTGTAAGGAAGTCTACGTTGGGCTCCGACGAGGTGGGAGCACCCAAACCTGGGCGCGTGGCGGCGCCTGGCCCGCGAGCTGCACCGCAGCGAAGGCCGCCTTCCAGCCACGCGGCCTCCCGTCGGGAACGACGCTCTGAATCCCAGCGCGCTTCCAGGAGGAGAGCCCCGTGCGCCTGGCGGGCACCCCTACAATTCACCCGATGACAGTTTTTGCCTGGGACACCAATCTCGCCTCTGTCTTCTGACCAGCTGAGCCAAACGAAGACCGGGAAAGAAACAAGAGGCCATTATGAGGCCATTATCAACCTCAGGTGGCCATTTAAAATTTCTGCAGGAAATGCCGGAACCTACTCAATTTGCATGAAATCTGCAACATATAAGGAATTAAACACGTTTTGCCAGAGTTATCAGGTAGAAAATACTTTCCTCAAGGCTATCGCTTCAACYGTTTCAAGCTTTCTTCCATAGGTATTTGTCGCTGCCCTGCTGCTCAAAATTTAAGCTGGGATGGAGCATATAGCACACGTGCCTGCTGCCCAAGTGATGAGCAACATTTGCAGCCCGCGCCGTAACTCGTGGTATTTAGAATTAATTTTTCCCTATACCCAAGCATGCAGTCTTGGAATCTATAATGGAATCCATGCACACAAAAACTTACTATTTAGCTAAATAAGCCAATACTGAAATGTATAGATCTAATTGGTTTCTGCAGCATTTTCCTGCTTCTAAATTACCACTACAATTACATATTTGAAACCTCTAGGCTTTTTGTTTTATTTTATSTATTGTTGAGGAGTATTTATTTTATCTATTGTTGGAGTATTTATCTATCTATTGTTGAGGTGTATGGTACCAGAGGAAGGAGTCCCCTGTCAAAACTGGAGTACTAACAACAATGCATGGACACCAGGGATGMAGCTGGGAATCTGAGAGCCATTTGGCCTAGGTTGGAAGGGTTACCATACTGCATGGTCTCTCACAGCCACAAAAAATCCCCCAAATTGCAATAGGGGGGAAAATCCTGGCCCTGCAGCCTCCCCCTGCCCTGGAGCTGTTCTGGCAGCCGAGCAGCCAGCTCTGCCCCGCTCACCCTCCAAGTCTGGAGCACAGTCATCTTGGAGCCACCATTCCCTGCTCCTCCTCCTGCCCGGGCTCATGCCGAAATCAGGGATGCCTAAACCACATCAACCTGCTGGCACAAGGCAGGACTGTAGAGTCGTGTTTATTGTAATTGMACTTCCCAAGAAAGCCTGAAAGATGGTTTTCCTCATCTCCTTCCTGCCAGCTTTGGCTGGTGATTGACAAAGATACGTATTTGTCACTAAAAAGAAAAGTTAATAGCCGAATGGATTTCCAAACGGGAAAGCGCTTTGAAGGCGGCTTGCAAAATAAGCTGATAATTATGTGCAGAATTAGTCAAATATCAAGGGTAAATGATAAAAAAGCTGTAGTCCATTTAGAAGAAAACGTACCTCTGAAATATTTAATTAAAGCCACCAGGCTGGAATTTTCTGTATATACTGAAAATCAATGTCCCATGGGTTGAAAGTGTGGCCTCCAATGGGTAATAATTAATGTCTACGACTTTAAGTCTCATATTCCACTGTCAGAAATCAAATGCTTCAAGGGTTGAACATACAACCACTGTAAAATCTGTGCTCCCATATGAGAAATTTGCCTTTTTTTCACTTTGAGGATGTGAAACAGGTGCAATCTCAAACTTCATTTCAGTGAAGAGAAAGCAACAGATCAYGGAAAAGAGCAATGTTTTGTTTCCATAAAACACAATATGGGCAGTTCTCCCCGCAGATCAGATCAGTGTTCACATAATAGCATTTCCAGAGTGAAAATCTAGCAGGGGAAGAGGACACTGCTTATATGATTTGTCAGACACTTCAGAAACTTGTCCTGTTTGTCATGCATAAAAATATACTCAGTCTGCAGCAAAACTGTATGCAGGGTGTGAGTGTTTATAAACTCACCCTCTCAAAGCATAAATGTTTACAAACATTACCATACATACAGAGAGGAAGATTTCCTTTAGTGTATTTGCTTCAATTGCTAATCTGGGGAAGAAGAAATACTTAAGAAAAAGATGGGCAATCATTAATAAGAGTGGTAAACTACCCCACAACTTCCATAACACTAAGAAAAATGACACAGTCCTGCAGATTATTCTAGTGGCTCCACTATATATAGCACAAATTCTTCTCCTTTATAAGAAAAGGGATGCAAGGAATACGGAAAAGAAAGCAAGCCCTGCTGTCTGCAAGCATGCAAAATATTACATTACTTCTGATCTAAGGTAGAATGAAACTRTTTTTCCGTGAAATGCGGATTCCTTATGAGGCACTATAGGCAGTTCTGTTGTCATCACTGTTACCAGAGAACACTGACAGCTCAAACATGACTGAAAAAAAAAAAATGTAATAAACCATTTTCAGCAGTTCTAAGCTCTTAGCTTCCCCTTCTCTCTGCCTTTCACAGAAGAACAAAAAGGGAGGAAAACCCCTGGTCTGAAGCCCCTTTAGCAACCTGACAGCAGATATTCCTCTCCTGCAGGTGGGCAATTCACTCCCTTAGAGCAGTCAGATGCCAAAGCTAATGGCAAGCCAGAATCCATGCCTGGAACTTCACTAAGGTCTGACACCCTTACACACAGAATTAGCCAAATATCAAGGGTAAAGGGTAAAAAGCCGTAGTCCATTTAGAAGAAAATGTAATTCTGAAATATTTAATTAAAGCAGGTGGGAATATTTAATTAAAGTGGCTGGGAAGGCGCAAAGAATACATATCTTTCTTCCTCAGATAATGAACTGCAAGACAAAGAATTAAAAAAAAAAAAAAGAAAAAAAAAGAAAGAAAAAAGAGAAAAAAGTCATTCTGGATGAAGTCTTAGTCACCTGGCTGGAGTCACTGAGGCAAAGCTGGTTCATGCTGGACATTTAAGGGTATGTGAATATGAGTTTTACTATCACATCATTGTATTCATGTGGCTACTGGCAATGCTTGTTTAACACTCTGGTGTGTACAGAGACGAGGTTGGATTAGGCTTGTCCTTTTTTTTTTTTTCCCTCCTCCTCTTAGCAACTTTTTAGTCCACGTTGTCCTTATTAATTTCTGCTCATTTTCTTTTACTGAGTGCTCAAAGGCAATTTGCATAAGAGCCCATTATAAATTAGATCTATTTAATGGTATACTCATCTCATGGCTATGTAATTTTACTTCCTCATATGTCTAAATTATATAATTTGGACCATCTCCTAGAAGCTAGCATGTCTGGAGAGATATTCACACACAGGAGACACGCAGGTAGCTATACTACCTGTGTGGAAATATGACCAAGTTTCTCCTTATCTTTTAGAGGACCACTTTTAGGAGCAACAAGTTGCTCTTCTCTCCTCAGGACCTTATGTCCTTATGTCATGTGGATACAGAGTGCCTGAATTTCTAGCAATTTCTGTAGTAACGCTGCATAACAGAAGTTGCCTCATAAACAAGATATAACAGAATTTGCAATTTTCAATAGCACATATATTATGAAAACTGCATTTTAATCAAGCACCCTGTTGCAATCTTTTGCTCTCAGTGCTGTTATAACTGGCTCTTATTTCTTTCTTCTTATATATAATTTAAGGTTTCATGTCCATGGATCTCAGGAGTTCCTTGGCACAGACACTTCCTACACTTATTAGGAGAGACATGAATGCACTGATTAAAGAGAAGATAACAGGCGAAAAAGTGTACTAAAGCCTAAAAATCTTATTACATCTTTTATAGAAAAAAAAATTTTGTATAGGATCAAGAAAAAGACCAAGCAAGAAAAATGTGGAGAGGAGGTATTAAAACATCTGGTTTTATGAGACTTAAAAGAAAATGTTACCTGGCATTTTAGCGAGCAGATAAAGCATAGATAGCGAGTGGAAGTGATGTCAGAAACCACCGTGGAAATAATTGCTAGAGATTAAAGAACTGAATCATTTACATGGGACCCATGTCAAGCTCTTTAGGTCTGCCATTTGAGTGCAGAGGCAAAGAAAACATAAGAGCAAGCTGAGAGGAGTAATAAAACACTGACACTGAGATAGCAAGGGGAGAGTGGTCTTAAATACACAGAACAAACTGCCT